GCGTTATTTTGTTTACAAACCACTGCGAGAAGCTCGTTACATGGCACGTAAACAGCGTCTCGGTAAGAATCATCCCGGGGGGGGGGGGGGGGGGGTCTGCCTCCCCCTTCCTGGATGTCCCTCCGTAGTCTACGCCTATGACCACGAGTCAACAGAAATGGTGTAGTGAAAAATATTGTTTTACCAAACATCCCTCCAAATAGATGTGGTTTACAGACCTCCTGGTAGCCATTTTTTAAATCCTGGAAGACATAAAGAGCTATATGGTGAGTCACGCACATGTGAACGGTCAAATTTTGTTAGCTATAAGTTTTGATCCTACATATATACATTTGAGGGCTGTTGTTTTTCAGCAGGGGCCCGAGATTATGACAGTTCTGTATGTTTAATATTACTGCGTTTATATTTCATCTAGAATAATTTAGCACTAATATAAGTTCAAGAAAAAATATAATCAATTTTGCATTTTTTGTGTAAATTATGAACTCGCTGAACAATTTTGTTATTTACTTTAGAAGGTCTAAGTGACCATAAAAGCGCACTTCTTTAACTTTTCTTAAAAATATATTGTTTATTTCCAGAATTAACCCGAAGGCTTTTGACTATAGCAGAGCAGACTACATTTTTTCACTTGACGGTCTCGGAGACGCCAATGAGGGATTTCTCGTGTTGACAAATTTGCTTCTGCACTCAATCAATCAATCAATTTATTTCCTCTCCATCTGAGAGGGGAAGGCAGGGAAAAAAGCAGCATGTCGCTACTTGACGAAGCCCCCGCCTCCCCTTTACATCCGCAGAAGAAACACAACATATGAGTGAAAGAACAATGCAACATATATGAAAACAGATAATCGAGCGCTTACACAGGACAGTGGTGTCAATTATATACAGTGCGAAAGAGTTAAACAAGGTAAACATAATTCAGAGTAGCACACGCTTGCTCCAAGAGTTTAGTAATGAGCACATTCACTACAATGCACATTGACTTTCAAAAATATATACGCAACTGCCTCTGCACCTTCAAAGCATGACAACACCTATTCAATAGATCACTCAAATAGCCCACGAATTTCCTTTTTGCTTGTGTTGGCCACGGAAATTCCCTTTGCTTCAAGGTTGTTTAAACTCCTTGGGAGAGTAAAAGCCAGTCTCTGGTCACCATAAGTGGTTCTGGAGCGCGGTGCGGCCCAGTTTCGAGAATGACGAGTGCTGTTTGTTGCGTCTCGCGACCCCAAACCTGAGACTGAATTAAAAACGCTAACAGGGTTGTTTAATGATCTTTTATATGACATCAAAAGCTTGTAACTATAGTAATTGGTGATTCTTAACGTGTCAAGCTTTTTAAACAAAGATTCGATGAAAGTAACAGGTTAATGTCATATTTCTAGATTTGGCAAAAGCGTTCGTCGTTGTCTCGCATAGTAAGCTGTTACAGAAGCGGTTTGCTACACTAAAAGAGACAAAATCTAAAATGGAGCTAAACGTGTTCGGTGCAATTAACCAACACTTTGTTGTTGTTGTCGGTTTTTTTTTTTTTTTTTTTTTTGGGGGGGGGGGGGGTTGGGGGGTGTTTTGTTTTGGATATCTGCAGCGTTAATTCGTCGTACCACAAGGTTGTATAGTTTTTCACCGCTGTTATTTTTATTGTTTATTAATAATATCTAGATATAAATTGAGATATAATTTTTAATAGAAAACTGTTCCTGATGATTATATATTATATAACATTGTAAGTCCCCCTAACGACCAGTATGAACTAAACGTGTGTTTACCTATAATTGGTAGCTAGTGCAAAACTTGGCAGATAAATCTGAACTCTTCCAAGTTTAGAACTATGTACATCACGCTAAAAATATATCCTTACTTATTTGACTACAGCTCAGACGAACGCAAACTTGGCAACGCCCTTGAGCAATACTTGGGCATTACCAGAGCTGGCCAAATTACTCATATTTTGTAATTAAATTACATTACTAATTACTTTGCTGAAAATTGCTGAAATGTAATTAAATTACATTATAAATTACCACAGCCAGAAAGTAATTAATTACCATTACAAATTACTTTTAAAAGTAATGACATTACTTTCGCATTACTTTTGCATACTTTTAAATATAAAGGAGCTATTGATAACTTCCTTTTACAGATAACTTTATTTACATTCTTTATACAGTTCATGGCACACAGCTAGAACTCTCTGTTGCATGTTTACCGATGGACAGAGGAACGCACGTGACTGATTCGTTTCCCACCCCAACCCGGACAACTATTTTTTGGAGATGACTGAGGACCCTACGCGGATTATCTTTGGGAGGGGGGAGAACAATTGTCATTGTTCGCAAAATCGCGTCGAGGGTCGTTCCACCAGGGGCCTTAGTTCGACCTACTTCCACTCCTTCGTTTCCCGAGAATGTCGAGCAGAAAAGCTCGAATGGAAGGCACTTACCAGCCCTATTTCTCACAGTGGAAGATAACACAGAGAGGGTACGCAGTATGCATCAGAAAAAGTAAGCGGAAACTTTCAAGAGGGGCCAGAAAACGTCGAATGCAAAACCGCAAAACATAGGTAGAGAATCGCACTGAGCGGGTTTTCACTGTTCAAGAGAGTGGCAGAAAATGTCTAGCTGATAGCGGGCGCGAAAGTTGCACCAGCCGCATTAGCATCAGCAACATAGCGGCGGCCAAAGAGCGTTTTTTCGAAAGGTGTAGAGGAAAAAGAAAAAGTAAAATAAAAAGCGCTCTTGTGCATTGTGGACACAAAAAATATGCCTGGTGCGAAAAAGTAATTAGGTAATTTAATTACAATTACCGTCGCTGGAGTAATTCATTACATTACAAAATTACCTGCTACAAAAAGTAATGAATTACATTACTAATTACTGGAACAAGTAATTAAATTACTGTAATTTCATTACAGTAATTGCATTTCTGCCAGCTCTGGGCATTACCATTCCAAAAAATTTCTCTTGAAACTCCCACATTGCTTGTCACCTCAGAAGCTACAAGCATGCCCTATATTAATTAAAAATATCACTCCAATTTTCAAACGCTCAAGTTAATTACTTTCTCATAAAATATTAATTTCGCCAACACTGTAATGCGCTAAAGTCGTTCGAGAAACATACAAAGCGTATAGTATACAAAAAAATAGAAATAGCAAACAAGAAGACACGTTGGTTTATTTTTTAAAAAAAATTAATGGCATGACTTGACGTCACCATCATTAAAGCAAGCAAGCCCAGCAGCTCTTGCCCACTACGCGAGAAATGACACACTGGAAATTCTCTACCAAATATCAGAGGTGACATTCATATTAACACCGATTACCTGTGTGCTTCTCCACCAGATCCAACACTAAAGCTTCACATTAAAGAAACATATAGAAAAGTCGGCAGAAACACTTAAGACTGTTTACGTGGCAGCACATTCCTACAAGCAGACTTGTACACGTTACAAAAAAAGTAAGGAATTACATTTGCAATTACCCCTGGCTAAATGTAACTCATTACAGTTACATAGACACTTCCATAAAAGTAAGAGACCGTTACTTCAAAAGGTAATTCGTTACTTCCGCGGTGTTACTTTCAACTTTGGTGTCCTAGGGTAGAAAACAAGACGCAAGTGTTATGGAAGCGTTTATTGTTGCCGCAACTCACACTTTTGTAACCTTGAGCAAGATCTGGCTCTCAAAAAGTCCCATCGGACATCTTGCCTCGTTTCTATGTGAAAATGTCGCCCGGTCGTCAGCTCCAGAGAGCACGCTCACTGGACTGACATCGTAGTCCGGGCCGCATGGGCAACGAGCCTCGTGCATTTGAGATAGTGTAAAAACCTTCATTTTCGAGGCCCCTATTTTTCGCCAATCGGTCCCAGAGGACATAATCGCGGCCACTAAATTTTGCGAATTCCAGACACATGCACTGAAACTCTTGAAGACCAAAATTTTCGCGTGCCCTTAAATTTCCCGAATTGTTCTACTCGATATACTTGCGAAAATTAAAGGCTCGCGAGGATGAAGGGTTTTAGAGCATCACTCCGTGGTTCCACCGTTAAGAGGCGCGAGGATCCTGACAGTGGTCCTGGTTTCGGAGCATGCTCCTCCCACCTTCGGCGATGGCGTCGGTGTGTTGCGATTCTTGATTGCTTTTTTAATATAACGAAAACGGCCGCGTATCATCATGCCTTAGGTATTTCTAGGATGCTTACAGCCAGCGGAGTGAGTTATTGCAATATTTAGGCGATTTCAAAATTTCCTGAGGGTACTTTTAAGACCATGAACCTACTCACCAAATAACCTCCTTACAAAGAAGGGAGAAGTTAAAAACTTGTTTAGTATCCCCTTTAAGACACTGGAAGTTCTAGCGCTAAACGACAAACTCAACATCTGTAGTGTCAGTCTATGTCTATGAGGTATCTATTACAAACATGTGACACTCATGAATACTGCATAACCGTCGCTATCATACTGCTTGAAGCTTCGGCGTTTAAGAAGCACATTTTACAAAATATTGGCAGTATAACGACCGTACCCTGTTCGTCTTGGCATTCACCACAAGAACATCGTATACTCACAGCGAAAGAACAATATTTCTTTCTTTTTTTCACTAAAGACGCCTGAAAAAAGAACTTCCCCGTGTCATAAAAAAGGTCACATGACTTTTCAATATCTGCTGTATAAAGTGAGAGGGGGGGGTGCTTTCTATACCAAAAAAAACTCGACGGCAGGGGAAGATGAGAACGTGCAGTGGACGTCACAGTGCCGAACACAAATAGGAAGGAATAATGCGTAGAGACGGGCAAAGGCTGACCGTCTTTGTCGTAAACTCCTCACGCAAAGCCTGGCGTTTTCGGTAAGGGTAGGCTAACCTTTCCGTCTACAAGCTATCCTTCCAATCAGAGTTCAAAGCTCTGAAGTCACCGCACGTTCTCACCTCCTCCTCTCCTTCAGTTTCTGTTTCTTTTTGTATAAAAAGAGGCCGGGATTGGTTTCAGCTTAAAGTGTTGCTGTAGATTAAGCAGTAAGAGCCCGGCGATGAAGATACTGTGCGCATCACTTGCTTTGACCGTCATTGTCGCCGCACTGCTGGCAGATGTCACCGCCGATTTCGAAGTAAGTTTTTTTTCGTTATTTTTGTATTTGAAGAAACATTAATTTTGTTCTAGCCCCATGCGCTGGTATGTAGATTGTGGACTAGTAATGGCGTCTTTGGCACTGCTTAATTCGTATATTTTAATGCCGGTCTCTCTAGATGTTTGAGATTTCCTTGGCTCGTCCGGTGCGTTGTTGCAACATTTTGAATTGACCACGGTTGAACTTTGAACTTATCTCAACCGTACAGAGCGACAAACAGTAAACATTTTCACAGACAGGTTGAGTATAAAAATTGTTGTTAACTGCCTTGGTTAATGATCGCACCCACCTGGCCATAAATGTACAGGCGCACGAATAAGCGACCCTGCAGACAATTTCTCGGGGTACAAAACATACTAGTTATTCTGTTCATCGACAAAAGCCTGTGTTAATCGCCCTACCGCATTTTATTTTTGTTGACACGCATGTCCGCATTATCTCCTCTGATTATTTTTTTTATGGGGGGGGGGGGGGGGGGGAGGGGGCGATGGAGAAGGGAAGGTGTCTATTTTGAAGTCGATCTGTATTACTGCGCATTCTAAATCATCAAGTGAAAAGTGTACCTAGAAACCGCCTCCCGTATAATTATGTCAGAGATAACTGTCAGTATAAAACACACCCAAATCGGTTTTTTATTTCATTTGCAGGGACAGCGACCAGTGTTGCCCCCTGGCTTTTTTCCTAAACCTCCTGGAAATGCGGGTGATGGGTGCAGCGCTCTCTTCAAATGTGGAAATGACACATGCTGTTTACGATCGAAAAACGGGGGTTCACAAACTTGCAAGCGTTTAGGGCAACATGGAGAACTGTGTTCGGAGTATGGAACCAGGGGTGACATCTTCCACAAACACTGTCCATGCGAACCAGGTGATTACTGCGTCCTTTTTTGTGCAAGGCTAAGTTTTTAGCAACCTTGAACATGGGCTGCAAAGAGATTCACTTCTTGTATTCATCCTTTTTTTTTCCTTTTGTTTTTGAGGTGGGGAGTGGGGGCGGAGTGTTTTTGGAGAATCTGGCGTTTTGATTTGTCTTTTAGTGATGAGAAAACCTTATTGTGATTGATAATTGCTATATAATGTTGAACAGCTCAAAAATACCTTTGGCATTGTCGGATGATCCTTCTAAAGCTGAGCAGCAGGTATACAATGATTTCGCCATGAAGAATGTGAAACCTCTTAAAGACGTTCTGCGTACAAAGGTCCGAGCCAAACACGAATGGGGACAAAGCTGTGGAAATAACTTAAAAATGAACCCCCGGAAACCTCAGAGAGGCACTAGGCGTTTGGCGATGTGGCTTAAAAAAAGTTTCTTTGCTCAGTATTTTCGCAGAAGCATCAAATGGTAGCCAACTTTCCGCTAAACGACATACTTCTAGAGGAACAGTGGAATATACGCTGCTCTGAATTTTTCAAGAGAAATTTACAGTTGAAGGAGCCTTATTTTGATAAACCAATGCGTTTAAAAAGCTTGAACGTTATAATCCATACTAATAGTGTGTCGTCAGGTCAATTAATTATGAACATAATATGCCTAGCTTTATTAGATAGCAGTTACAAGTGACTCTGTAAAGAAAGAAAGTGCTTAGCGAACAAAAACTACAAAATAATTCACACCGATACCAAGAAATTTGCTCTAAATGCTAGAATGTTGGTCATAAGGCTACATATTTGGCAGGTATATGCACCTCCTGGTGACCTTTAAAGTTTTGTTCAGTTTTTAAAGCACGCACTCAATTTATATTTACATTCATGAGATCATAAACTACTTTCAGGTCTGCGATGCCGGCAATTTCCGAATGGCATACGTATATGTGTGTCAAGAAAGTGATTTTCTTCCGCCAAATACATATCCTGTTCACGCATGAAGGAAGCATCGAGCACATAATGCAGCGCTTAAATGGTTAACTTAAATAACAAGCTGCACCAAAAAAAATAATAAAGCTTCATTACAACAACCAGATCTCCTGGCTTTTCTTCTTTACATTTCCACCGGTCGGGTTTGGTGTTTACGAGAAAAGAAAGACACCCTCCATTTCAATATTCCTTCCGATTAAAGAGATAAAAGGAAAGTGAATAAAAGACGAAAACATAACAAACCATGTCAAACATATAAGCGAAAGCTGTGTCGTCTGTTTCGTCCTCTTGTGTGTTTCTTTCGTTTTAAGTCGACAAATATGAACTTGGTTAAAATTGCGCACACATAGAAAGGAACAGTGGAGAGAGAAGAGACAAGCGCGAACTCACAATTTGAAGTATTGAAGGAAGAAAAAAGAAGAACCCGCAGTGTCATCTCAGGCCAAGGCCACACTGGCACGGGTGCACCCAAACTCGCGGAGGGCACACCACATCAACCACACTCATACGATTGCGGAAAGGCAATTTTGCTAAGAGTCTAGAGGGCAAAGGGTTGTTTTATTTCGTAACTCAGGTCATAAGAACCCGTTAATGTGCTTGAATAATTTACGCAATGTATAAATGATTACTTTTGTATAGAGACCAGTTTTTCCCGATAGTTTAAGTATTGGTTTAACGCGAAAAAACGCTAAATTCCGCCATCTTGGACGTTGCTGCTTGTCTGGCAACCCTGCTTTCTCCTTTCGACAGTTGCAGTTCCCGGAGCGAGAAGGAAGCGAGAAACGCTACGTCAAGGCGTTTGTTGTTTGCAATGGGAAGCGAGAGGAGGAAAGGCGCATAGGGCAACAGTGTGGGAGTGAGCTCTCATGCAGGCAACATTGGCGGATATATTTTCACAATCCTCTCTCTCAGGTGCCGCCATTAAATTGTAAACGCTCTCCAGGATTTGAGTTGCACCCATCCTAACTAGAGCCTCCCTAGTCCCAACGCGAGGGGGCCAGCTTGGCCTCCGTTTTGCAAGCGTTCCTGGACTGCTTGAGATCGCGCGCGCGCCTCCGCCGGATTTCCCGCGCTTTCGTTGTCTGCTCTTCGCTAGGTTCTCCCGTTTCGGCTCCCATCTTTCGAATATATCAGCATCGAAACCGTACTCGCTGCCTACATGGCAGGTATCGATGATGACCTGGTAATCATCGTGGATGTGATCATCCTAGTCTGCTCGTTGATCTTGCGACGTCGCCGGGCTCTGAAGAGAAGGAGGCGAATGTTCTGGGTCCGGCCGAGTTGACGCACCCGAAACACCGAAGGACAGTCCAGTCCTTTGCAGCCCCGGCTGCGCGCCAGAGATGAAGCCTACTTTCGAGAGTGTTACCGAATCAACACGACATCCGTCACAACGCAGGCGACATGTAACAAGTGTCACGGAGAAACTCGCCTGTTGTTCCGAATTCCTCTCAGATAAGTTTCCCGCGGTTGTTCTTAGCGTCCTTATCTAGGTAGTTTGGCCGCGTCTTGTCATACAGGGAGGGGAGAAGTCCCATAGCTAGAAGGACCCGCTCATGTTGGGAAAGGCATTGGGGGACATACGGATTGCGGACGAAACGAAACCACGCTACGCTCCTTTGCAACGTGAAAGACGCGCGGAGAAGCGGCTTTTCCGTTGACATGGCATCGCAGCGTCACTAGCTACGCCACCTCCCATTGGCCCCTTTCTTCTCCGCCAAAGAACTGCGAGCCCTCAACCGCACGTAGTCCGGTTTCCTGGACGGCGCGAAGCAGCGAGCCGCTGAGGGCAAAAACTGGTTTTGGCCAGGAGCCAGCGGCAGCAAGCGGTGGCCGGCAAGCTTCCGCGACGCTAGTGTGGCCGGGCCATACGACAATTTTACGGACGACTTCTAGAACAACATGAAGAACGACGTCTAGGACGACGTCGAGGACCAAGTCCTAGAAGACGACGTCAAAGACTACGTCTAGGACGACCTCTTGGACAACTTGAAGGACGACATCTAGGACGACGTTGAGGATGATGTTCGCATACGCGTGGCGCCTGTGTATGCGGACGTCGTGTGTATTCGCGATGTATACTCACGCCGCGCATACGCACGCCGCATTCCAGGCCAGACCCAGTACCGCGAAAACCGGGCGAAGTAGCTAAAGGGTGATATCGCGATACTAATCTATTATTAAGATGAATAAAAGTGAATCTGAAATGTTTCTTTTCCTCAAACAAACAATCTTTAATCTGACCTGATGTAGATCGAACTACGAAAGATTTTCGGAAGGTAAAGAACAAAAGTGTTCTTTGTTTGCCTAAATGTTCACTTTATAATTATTTTGCAGGGTTCGAGGTTATTAAAAACTGAAAATATATTCTTAAATACTCTAAAAATACCGGGTGTTTCGAGAAATCCTAACCCAGCTTTCCGCACCGCAGAAGTAAACTAGACATTGAGGGGAGCTCCAACTCCGTCAAAACGTAGCCCCAGCCGTTGTAGCAGTTCCCGCAGTGCAAGTCCGGACCCAGCCTCCCGAGGACCGAGCGAAGACCAGATCGAGACCCGATCCAGTCGCCGCACCCAAGGTCTACCCCCGGAACACGGACTTCTGCCACCCCGGACCAGGCAGCCAACGAGGCCGACGATGGACAACCAGTCGTCGCAGAACCCGTCCGCCGCCGCCGTCGTATACCTTCCCGTCGCACCCGGGACTCCGACGCCATTCCACGGGGAGGTCCACGAGGACGTTGAAGATTGGCTGCAACATTACGAACGAGTTGCACGCCATAACGCATGGACTCCGGAGCAGTGCCTTCAGAACGTCTACTTCGCTCTGGAAGGCACGGCACGCACCTGGTTCGAGAACCACGAAGCGTCAATTTCGTCGTGGCAAGACTTCCAGACGGAACTTCGACGCACGTTTGCCAGCCAGCAGTGACGTCAGCGGGCCGAGGAACTTCTTCAAGCAAGAAGCCAAGGGCCAAACGAGAGCGTCACAAGTTTCGTCGAGGACGTTCTCCGCCTCATGAACCGCGCCGACCCAAACGCTCCTGACGAGAAGAAGCTGCGGTTCCTGATGCGAGGGGTGAAAGAGACCATCTTCGGAGGCCTTGTCCGCAACCCCCCAGCCACCGTCGAAGATTTCGTCAAGCAAGCCACAAACATAAAACGGGCCCTTCAAGCACGGGCCTCCCATTACCAGCGACATCCCGGCGTCGCTGCCTTCTCGACTTCCAGCTGCACCGGCCCGGACCTCCGCGACATCATCCGGGACGTCGTGCGGGAGGAAATCAGGAAGCTTCTTCCTGCTGCCGCAAGCCCGGATTCGCCCTCAATCACCGTGATTGTCTGGGAAGAAGTTCAGAAGGAGCTGCAGCCACAAGCTCTTGTCAACGCCGCTCCCGAACAACCGACACTGAGCTACGCCGCAGCTACCCGACGACCACCGCCCCCTGCTCAGCCGTACACCGCGCCACCCCGACGTGAACCTCCAGCGCCGCAGTTTCCCCGAAGCCAGGAAGATCGGGCGCACGCCCACCCAGAACAGGCAGCGCCACGAAAGACCGACGTGTGGAGGACAGCGGATCGACGACCCCTGTACTATCACTGCGGTGAAGCCGGCCACATTTACCGTCGATGCCCCTACAGACAACTGGGGCTGCGCGGGTTCCACCCGAGCGACCCGCGCCCAAGATACGACGAACGCCCTCGCGACATTGAGGAGTACCTCCGACGCTCGCCCTCCCCAGTGTCGTCTCTCCGCCGTGAAGCCCGCTCCATATCGCCACGACGTTTAACGTCCCCAGCGCAAGGACCCCGCCGAGAGAGCCTATCTCCCATGCGTCGCCGGAAAAACTAAGTGCGGCAACGCCTGGAGGTGACGTTGCCGAAAACGACGGAAGCAAACAGCCTCCAAGAACGCCGGAGCGCTCCCACTCTACCGACGCCCAGAATCGTACCGACGTCCCTGCTACGGTGTCCAACAGCCTAAACGTTGTTATTGACGGCCCCGACGCATCGGCACTCGTGGACACCGGAGCGGACTACTCAGTCTTGAGTGGGAGGCTCTCTCGCCACCTGCGAAAAGTGACGACGCCGTGGGATGGACCTCAAATACGAACCGCCGGAGGGCATCTTATCACACCAGTCGGAAGCTGCACCGCTCGCATCAAGATCCATGGGGAGACGTGCCCTGTGAAATTTGTCATTCTACAAGACTGTGCCAGGGACGTCATTCTCGGAATGGACTTTCTGTCTGAATACGGCGCCGTCATCGACCTTCGTGAAAACAGATTGACGCTGCGAACCCCTGTGCCACCTTCAGAGAAACCCCAAACAGCGTCAGCCGTTATCCGAGTCGCTGCCGACTACGTGAACCTGCCACCGCGATCAAGTGTTGTCATACCCGTCGTGGCCGATACAGCTACCTGCGGCGAAGTTGTCCTGGAAGGTAACCTTCAATTGCTCCTGGGAAGAGGAATAGGTGTCGCAAGAGGAGTAGCTGAACTTCAGGATGGGCGGACTGTGGTCCTCGTGACGAACTTCCGAAATGAAACGCAACACCTCACAAAAGGTGCCGCTGTGGGCCACGTCGAGAAACTTCGGAACTCCGCCGAAATCGCCGTGATTGCTGAAGAATCATCACCACCTCAGCAAGGCAGTAAGTCGCCAGCGCAGCTTGACATTGACCCTCAGCTTCCGGGCCCAAAACGACGGCAGCTGATTAACCTCCTCACCGAGTACCGCGACTGCTTTGCGACGTCGTCGAGGGTGCGCCAAACTGCCATTGCGAAGCACCGAATCGTTACCGAGGACGACGCGCGCCCTGTGCATCGATCGCCGTACAGAGTCTCCGTCAAAGAAGGGGAGGTGATCCAGGAGCAAGTACAAGAGATGCTGAACGACGACATAATCCAGCCATCAAGCAGTCCTTGGGCTTCTCCAGTCGTACTGGTTCAGAAGACGGACGGAACGCTTAGGTTCTGCGTAGACTACCGGCAGCTGAACGCGGTGACGAAGAAAGACGTCTACCCACTTCCCCGCATCGACGACACGTTAGACCGGCTGCGCCACTCTCGATACTTCTCATCGATGGACCTGAAGAGCGGCTA